ATGATATATTGAAGTTAAGAGGATTTTTTGGCAGAACAAACCGTAAATTTAGTATTATTACGCTATCACTTACATTCCGTTATTCATCGGGTGAAAATAATTTCGTCCCCGAGCGCATAATTTATCGGTCGGGAAATTATTTGTAAACCGATAATCGTGCATCTCTCTCAACTGGACTATTCATTTTCTATTTCACGATCTACGAGCCCAACGAGCTATGTCTGCGTATACATGGCGGGATTAGAGATCGGTGGGTGTGTTGCGCTGGTCAGATCGGGTGTGCGATCATGCGTTAAAATGAAAGGAGACGCGCGACGTGCCGAGATGAGAAATAAGAAAAACGAGCGTGCAAGACTCGATATAGCTGGTCGGTTGGTATCCTAAAAGGAGAGTCTGATATTCTAAGCAAGACGGAATTCGCGATCGGTGTACTTGCGGATACTCATTTAATTTGCGAGCGCAACCAATAAGTATGCGTCTCGATTCTTGGAATTCGTATGCCGAAAATAAATTGCCTGCCGCAAGTTATGTCGTCATCTTCACTTTTTGTTTTGCTTTGCCAAGACATCACCGACTGGAAAAATTTGCGATTCTAAAAGACGCGGAGATACTCGTGCAATTAGTTGAAACCCATGCTCTGTCATCGCACACAATTAAAATTATTATACACAATTTTAATTCTTACTTAATCTAATTTATATCTAATCGAGAGTAAATCGGCCCTATTTGCGCAACTGAAATAAGAAATTTCGCGATCGCAGATTTAATTAAAGCTTCCATCAAAAATCATAGATAATAGATAGCGGAGCACTATTAGCGACGTGCTATCGATCTACCGCTAGTCGATCGATCGAGCCGGTACGATTTTTTTCACTTTCTAAACGCGCGGGTTCGCTCTGAGACCGGCAACCGCGTGGAATTTCGTGATTAGCTCGGCTGTTTTTGTCAACGTCACGTTGGCAATAATGTTCGTTGGCGCGTAGAATTATTGCCTCATCGATGCCGTTGTAGGCTCGCTCGCGCTTGTCTCAAGCCGCTCTTTTGTGACTCGGAGCAATCGCCAATACCTCTATCTCCATTCTTAAGCTACAAACGAGAGCCGTCCGATTCCTTTTCGCAACAAAGAAATCCTCTAGTACCTTCCTATCCTTTCCGCAATTTTTTTTTCTATTCGTATCCCAATTTTCATTCATGCCATCGTCGATTTTATTGATCATGCTACCAGATTTGAAAGATGCTGCTGATACTTTCAGGACGATCGATTGATGATTTTTTTATTCGAAAACGTGTTTTGCTTAACCTATCATTACCTTTTGCTGACCATCTTACGACAGAAGAAAATAAGAGCGTGATCGATCTATTATATATTCTTTCGCCACAAAATCAGGTTAAACTATTAAATTTAATGTTTTACTTACGGATTACATTTGATATTGACTGTGTTTATAGGTGAATTTTACATTCACATTTTCTGATAAAACAAAAATTGTACGTACACTTAATTTTATTATAAAATAAATTAAATGTAATTTTTTAAATATTGTAATTATATAATTATATTAAAAATTTTATATAAATATTATATTATATAAATTATTACAATATAAATTATAAATACATTATTATTGACATATTTTCATACCTTTCTGATACTAATTTTACACAAATACATCAAATTCTTGTCTTGAATTTCTACAGTACTTTCTTTTTTTTCCCTACGCCTCTTGATTACCTCGTCAGTGCTCTTCATCAGTGGAGAAAAAAATCTTGACTTTACATCTCGATGAGTTATGGCATGGATATCAATTTTTTATGCTGTTGATGAAAACGATCAAATAAAACTGCAAGGTTTACCGACACGTGGGGTGATTTTTTGCGCAAATTAATAGGTAAAATATTTTTAAAAATTGTAATAAATTACGTGTAGAATTACGTGTAGAATTTGAAGTTGTTTGATAGATCGGTTATTTCTGGAACTACGTTCACTTCTGCCTTGTTATCAGAAACTTGTTTAGATTACTTAAATAATACTTACCTAAATGTTTTGCGATCAGAAACTTGTTTAGATTACCTAAATAATGCTTATCTAAATTCAACGCTCTGTAATTAACTCTAAAGAATCCAAACAGATTTGTAGCTCGAATAGTATTTGACTTTTTATTTTATCAAAGCGTGAACTAAAGAGCGTGTTATCCGTGTTTCTCCCGCGGTGTCCTTACGTAACAATGTTATCACCTTGGCACTTACATACAACCAAGATCCGTGTGTGCAACGCGAGGATGCAAAAAGATAATAATACTTAATTACATATCAATATATATATATATATATTTTTTTTATAAATAAGGCTAAAAAGGTGCTAACTTTTTACATAAACATAAACTTAGACTCTATGTATAAAATTATTAATTTATAATATA